TCACCCAGAATCCCAAGGTCTAGCTCACTCATGGGCACACTCTGCACTGGGTATGTCTTGCTGGCTGCAAGCTCCCCAGGGCAGTAACCCATTTAATCTCTACTGTAGCTCTGTAACTCTCTGCACAATCATACTGAGGACCTCTGTGCCACTTCCTCTGTGCCATTAGCCCACTAACTAAACCCCCTTCAGTAAAACCAAATAGCAGTGCTTTACAGCTCTGTTTCAATACTGAATGCAGCCAGAACTGAAAATAAAACATATGTTTCTATTACCAAGGAATAAAAGCTATTTCTACTGAAAACACTTTACAAATCCTAAAAACAATCATCAAGACAACAGAAGTCATAAAACCAATGCCAGAAAAGGGCGACACTCAATAGTCAATCTTGCCCTCAACGTGCGGAATGATTCCTTTTGCGATCAAAGCCAGAACACAGAACCTATTACTACAAGTTAATCTTCTGAAGTGTATGTGAGTTAATCCAATCCAACACATATGTATGTGTGTACTTTCTTGGCTGTATCCCTTGCTTGGAGTGTGAAACTTGTTACATTACAGCTACATCCACAGAGCCAAATGCTTCCAAATATACTGTGGAATTTGCTTAAGATGCTGAAGAAGGTGCTGGAGACAAAGAAAGTGAGAGGAGTCAGGTGTAACAAAGTGACAGAGAAACAAGATCCGATACTTGGAAAATGTGCTCTTTTCATATAGTATTTACATATATGCTATACTATATTTGTATTTTAAAAATACTAAGAAAACAGAACTGTATATTTACATTGTTTATCAATTACTAATTACAAAGGGTAAAATAGTAGCTTTGAGTAGAGAAATCTGGTAGGTACCACATTCCCCAAACGATCGATGTGATCACCACTAGAACCACGATAGGATTCACTGAGGCATTCACAGCATCACAGCCATGATATTTCTCCTGAAAGCACGTGCCCTGAATCTAATCATGAGGAATTGGAGAAATATAAACCAACAGGCATTCCACAAAATAATTGGCCTGTCCCCTTCATAAATATCAAGCTCAAGAAAAAGAAAGTCTGAAAAACTATTCTGGATGAAAGACAACTATCAAAACACAACTAAGGCAACGTGGGCCCTGGACTGGATCAAGGTGAAGATGACTGACACCTGGAGAGGCTGAAGACTTTGCTTTAAATCTACCTACTCACTTAGGCACAACTCGAAAAGGTGAAGCCCCAAGCTCTTTCTGAAATGCTAAACCTAAGAATTGAGGAGTGAATTTCTAAAATTCATGCATTTAAAAAATTTTCTTATTTTTAGCCTTCAACATTTCTTAAGTCAAAGCCTGTATACTTTACCATGAGAAAAAGCATCATAGGCACTTGACTTTCTTGGTCTTAACATTCATAATTTTAAATGGACACTAATAACCATAGAAACCCATGAACTACAATGCTTTGGAAATAAACTTAGTCAAAAAACAGGATCAGGCTACTTGTAATCCTGGCTATTCTGGAAGCTGAGTTAGGAGGATTGCTGTAACCCAAGAGTTCAAGATCAGCCTGGGCAAAATAGTGAGACCTGGTCACTACAAAAAATTTAAAACTTAGCCAGGCATAGTGGTATGCACCTGTAGTCCCAGTAACTCAGGGACCATTTCAGCCCAAGAATAATCCT